ATTATTCTTTCATAAAATTTTAAACTTTATTATCACTAATTTCTTATAATAGGTCATTCATTTAAGACATCGAAGATTGCTATAAATTGCATTGTACTTTATCTGATTTTTTATTCGGTATGTTGTTAAGAGAGCTACCAATGGTATAAAGGCAAGTTTGCAGCTTCAAATTAATTGTGCTAATATGTGGTTATATATATATATATATATATGATGTTAAAGACACATCAGTTTATAAATTGATATATATATATATATATATATATATATATATATATATATATATATATATATATATATATATATATATATGATGTTAAAGACACATCAGTTTATAAATTGACTTTTTCCCCAAAATTTAATTTTAGCCGTATTTTGTTAGTCTGTATTAATTAGACCGTTTCATTTGAAGATAAAAAGACATTTTAATATTCATACTTTTTTTTCTTTTGTATGATATAAACCATTTGCCATTTTGTTATTTCTCTCCATTACCTGTCTTTTGGACGCGCTCCATACACATACACAGAAAATTCAACTTAAATTAAAGCTAAATAGGTTATTATTAAACAACTTCATCTTCATGATTTATCTTGTGTTACGAATAGGTATTTTAATCTCCGAAATACTCTCGAAACTGCAATTTTAAACATTTTTGGCGAAAATTATAATAAAATTGCTGTATCTCACGACCTATTACAGCTACAAAGCTGTGCTAGCACTTAAATTGCAGGAAAAGGACAATGTTAAAATTGGCCTAAGAACCAACACCAATTTGGCATTTATGATAATTCTTAGTATATTTTTTGCGATAATTATCTGTTGTCAAGTGAAGGGCCGGCATAAAACTCGATACTCCGTAGTTGTGGTGCAGGCAGTTTGCATTCGTAGTAATCTGTGGCATTCGTGCATTACATAAAGTAGTTTATTATACCGGAAAGTGCATTCTCGTTTCGGATTACCTGTTGTGTGTGTTTATTTGCGATTGTTTTTCCTTTAATTTAACTATTTCGGCTATCTAATAAGCCATCGATGTTACCAAAGAGCAGAGACCTTATTACCAAGTGCTAGTGAACCTATGCCACAACATCCTGAGAGGATCATACTGCCAAATTATTCAAGAACACCTGATACACATTCACGCTGCATATTTACACAATATACATGTGATATACAAATAAATACAATATACAATATGATACAATTATGTGAAAAAAAGTCAATAAATAAGAAGCAAAACTACAGTTTTTATTTTATTCATGATTCCTACCTAATAAAGTTTTTCCTAATAGTTATTCTTTAAAATCGCACCGAATAAAATGAATTAGTTGTTATATTAATTCACGTTACACTGAGTTCATACTAAGTTCATAGGTTGACCGTTGTTTTAATTGAATATTAAACATAACCTCAAAAAAAATTTAGTTTTGCTAATAATTAATTTATGTTCTCAGAAGTGTCCGTCAATAATCTTTGTTTTTACAGTCATTTAATTACTATTTCGAACCTAGAAAATAATATTTCATGATTGTTGGTTCTTAGGCTAACTATGTATGGACGCTGAACAATGTCCTTTGTTTACTCTTAATTTGTAGACAGCATTTTTCTCGATAGGTAAGACCTTAAAAAGATATAAGGTAGTAGCTAAAAAAGATAGAAAATTTTAGGGGTTTTTAAGCACCAGATTGGTAAATATCCCAACAGCATTTCAAGAAATCAGTACAGTGCAATTTATTGCCACCAAAGGCGATTTTTTTACTTTAACTAAACTAATAAGTTACTACCTACCTACTTTTTAATCTAAATATAGAGAGAGTCAGTTGAATAAATACGAAGTTATAAATATTTGAAGTTTAAATTATCATCGTTTATTTTTTTCTTAGTCAATAGATACATTTAACAACTTGATGTCTTAAATTTACAAAATTACCATATCCTACTTAAATAATATATAATTTACAAAATAAAGAATGTGTCGCCCCCAGCGCCGCTAATAGGAATGGTGCCCAATATGCTGGCAGCATTGCCACGTTGGATGGCAAGGCCGAACCGTTGTCCAAGATAGCTGCCAGCCTTTGATCACCAGTCACCGCAGTGAACCTCTTTGACAGTTCTTTAAAAAGGAAACGAGCGCTTGGACCCCGTAGGCCCATAGTCTCAACACCAACCGGCACAGATATGTAGTTCTCATTGAGAGCTGAATATTTGCCCCGCTTGGAGCACTCGGCAGAGTTTAATCCTTAAATTAATCTCAATAAATGTAGGTATTATAATATTATATACATTGTCAAACCAAAGAATTGATAGTCTTAAACAAAACTGGTTAAATTTTATCAACGGATAGTGAACTTTATATCAAAGAAGATAAAGCAATCAGTCAGTTGAATAAATATGACCAATTTGGACAATTTGACCTGTTACTAGTTTTGCCTACATTTTATTACAAAGTTTCAATTTGTAATAAAATGTAGGCAAAACTAGTAACAAACAAAGGTCTTCGTTGCTAGGGTAATTGACAGAAGGCGTACATGATTTTTAAGAGTTATCTGTTGTTTACGAGATGCTTACAGTTTCGTTCGACCATATTATGTTACTGTATGGGCCGGGCTGGGGAAAATCTCATGTACTGAAACTCGAAGAATATTAATCTATATACTAGCCATAAAATCAACAAAGTTCCCAATGCTCAAAATTCAATATATATAAATTTGTTATCAATGTGTTTCTTATCAACTTGTATAAATACCATTATATAGAGCAAAATAATGGCAACATCATCTGTTGTATGAGAGCCTTAAATATTTATTTTATTTTGTTTACTTTAAATTTCTTGTAAGTTTTCCTGTAATCTACAAGCAAAAAGCTACATCCCATTTTATACGGATTATTAGACGCAGTAGTTCCATAAATAAGGGGATGGAACTTTTCATTTCACATTTGTAAAAAAGCCCTTTCATTTCATGCACATTTAGCTAAATTTTAATGTTTACTTTTCTTATTTACCCCCCCCCCCCCCCTAAAAAATAACAGCCTCATTTGGAATTTATTAATTTACTTTATTTGTAGGTGTTTGGGTCACAGACATACACTAGGTAACAAATTTCAACTTGATTGGTCCAGTAGATTCCGAGAAAATCTACTGTGACAGACAGATAGACAAGGATTCCGTTATTTCCTTTTGAGGTACGGAACCCTATAAACGCTCGAAAGGATCTAAATCTAAATTTTCTAGAGGTAGGACACTATATATTTTAATGCTTATCGTACTGTATTTTACTTTTCGTAAAAGTAAACAGATAACAGAATTTGGTGTACATCATATTGGATTAGTTACCTACGACCATAAATAATTATCGTTTTTATCACGCTCGGACAGGTCAAAAATACTTTATGATATGGCAGCATGAACACTTGGAGTTTGTTCGTCCGTCCTTCATAGGGCTGCTACCTATATCTGATGAACCTGCATAGATACTGAGATCAGATGAAATTATCACATCGTGTGTATTAGTAAAATTCATGCCTAATATACAAGAAAGAAAATCAAGAAATGTAAAAAAGCTATCTATACCGAATAAATATAGAAAAACGCTTCGTCGTCATTTGCTTTACCCTAAAGGTACGAGTAGCTTCGTTTCAAACTTAGAACCTTTGTAGGTTGGTTTTTATTTGTTGGTCCTGTTTTTGCTAACAGAACAATAACTTCAATCAATAGACCGCAGAAAATCAACGAAATAATATTTAATGAATAATACCTACTAAAAATACTTGATTTCTTAGCAATTATTCTCTTTGAAACCGCTACTGGTACTTTATGTGTGGTTATGAGTAGTCATGCTCTCTTAAAAATCTCTTCGATGGTGTCGTGTGAGGCGGGTCTTTGCGTTCCCTAAAAAATGGTTGAGCGAAGCGATGGCTGGTTCATGTGTCATGCTCGTGAACGGGTGCTGCCAGCGGAGATGAGTCTGCTCTTAATTCACTGGGTACTATTAATCGTTGTTCTAAACTTTAATAGTTCATTATTATTTTTTTTTTTTGCCTAAACGGTAGGACACGTCATTCCTAAACTTTTTTAAACCAGTTTAGCTACCGAGCTACCTTCGAAAGACTTTTTCAAAAGTTTTTCGAAGGTAGCTCGACAAATTAAACAAAAGTTTTATTCTGACGACGAAGCCTGGAAAGGCTACGAAACGTCAATAAATAAATAAAGTTTCGTGCATTATCCCGTTTAAACTAGTTTTATTTAATGAGTGATGTGCGTGAAAACCTAAGAAACAAATATTTTTTAAACCATTTTTTTTTACATATTTTTATTTTTTATTTTATAGTCATAATTTTTATATTATTTGCATTTTTTTTTTGTTTGTAATGAAAAGTGACTTTATGAGTTACCTCATATTGAAGTCATTTTTCAATTTGACGACTCTGTATATAATACAGGGAGAAAAAAACAGCCCTTGCTGAGTTTCTTGCCGGTTCTTCTCAGTACAAGGTCTCCCGCCGTAGATTTGCGAACCGATGGCGTAGCTTTTCGACATTCACAAGTGCTTGTAACAGCCTAGACAAACGATATTGAATTTTGAATTTTGAATTTTATGAAGGGCTACTTGCACAAAAAAGCTTTAAAGGTGATGTTTAACACATCATTCTGTCTTTCCCTTTTTTATGTCAAATAGAGATAGATAGAAGAAGACTTAAACATGATCAGCTTTTAAATTTGAATTAAGAACTTTGGTCCAAGTAGGCCTCGCCGTTTATTAAATTTGAATTATGAACTCGAAGTAGGCCTCGCTGTTTATGAATTTAGTGGTAAAATGAGTGTGCCTAATCCGTCTCTGTGCAATGCAGCTTGCTCCCCGGCGATGCAATGGCTAGACAAACCCGCGTCTCTATAAAAGGGACAGGTGATTAGGCGCCTAAGTACAATCCGGCGCACTTGCGGCCACTGCCGCCACTGGATACAGTACTGTGCCTACCCTGATACACCCTTATACGTGATAATGGTAAGTCTAAACTTAATGTCGAATAAACGCTTTTATACTCAGGAGTGATGACTAGTTTAATCTGGTAACTTAAATATATTTAAATTGAATTCAGTTTCAAATAAAACACTTTTTATGCAGATTTAAACTTTTAAAAATATTTTACTGACGTTGAAGATCCTTTACAGGCTCCGTTTTCACGAAAATATGTTAATAGAAAAAACCTTATGTTTAAAATGATCCGAAACGTCGATTAAAAAGCACAGTTCAAATCCGTTTAAAAAGTGTTTTATTTAAAGATTTCTGTGCGTGGAAACATAAAAAAGAAATATTACTTTCCTTAGTTTAAAATATTATTATATATTCTATTAAGAATTTTATTAAAATATCAATTTTCATTTCCATTATATCCATCATTTTTTATAACAAAAGCTGCAAACACACTTTTATTTTAGTTGATTACTTATAGATTTTTATTAGAAAAACTAGGAAAACACATGAAAGGCAAAATATAAGTAAAACATGAATCTGAAAAGAATATTGGTATTCCTATTTAAATAATTTTAATTATTACTTATACTTAAGGAATTAAATACTCATAATTCTAGACTTTTTGCAAAATGGGTGTGGGCAAAACGGTTTATTTTAATAAAATAAATTATTCATATATCCGTTTAGAAACTAGGTACAAAAATAACTTAAGCAAAATGTCAAAGTTATAAAATTTTATTAGAATATTAAAAAAAACGTCTCGTTCTGTATTTTATTGGATTGACTTTTCTAAAACATAACTAAAATAATTGAAGACCTACAATATAAATAACATAAGCCTAAGATCAGGTGTGTAATACACCTTGTTAAAAGTTAGAAATCATGCATTCAAGATTCCTTTATCATCAAAATGCCATTGAAATCTATAGAAATGGCTAAGTCGAGAGGCGCATAGCAAATAAGGTAAAATCAATAACGAAATCACTTAGACTTTTGATAGGGATTCAAAGGTGAGTCGATATTATTGCAATTATCATTCGAGCTGAAATTTTACAAACTTTACCGAGTTTCGACGAAACATTAAAAAAATGTCGACGTTGTTTTTTACCTATTTAAATGTCATTTTAAATAAAATTTGAAACTGTCAAAGGTATTGAGCAATATATCAAGCAAAGTAATGGATATATATTGTTTATGCTGATATTTTAAAATATTGTCAGCTTCATACTAGTTGCGTCGTGTTTTGTTGCCAGGAGTAGTTATGGTAAATAAATTTTCATAGATGTCGTTTTATAATCTTATAATCACGTTAGGTTAGTATATTTTTTATTGATTTTTTATAACATCCAGTTTATAGGTTTATAAAAAATATTATCGATAGGCATACAAATAGATCTCATCTCTAGTTGTTAAGGCCGCCTAGGTACTAAGTGCATAGGGCATAGGTTCGTCGTGGTCCTTATGCAACACTCCCGCATTTATTGCATCCACAATACCTAACCTTTACCACATGAGTAAAGAAGACATAGAGAATAGAGCTTCATACAATTGCGAGCGTGTGATGAGCACTAGCACGTATGCAGAGAAACGTTCCTATAGGCTGTTTGACAGTATGAAAAATAAAGTACATTGGTACTTTATTAATAATTATATTGTGGAGTGTATTTAACATGAATATTGGGACATATTTGATTATTCTGACTAGAAAATTAGTTGAAAATGTTACTAAAAATCATGAAATAGTGAAGTATTTTTGAGCAATTGTCACGAGACCGAAAACGCCTAGGATTTGCGGAGCCTTAACCTGTCACCTGCTTGTAAACATGTAGTTAAAGTGACCTAACTTTGTACTGTTTGATGTTTTAATTACAGCCGTGTAAGTATGTGCCGTACATACCTGTAAGGCCAAATATTGGCTAGAGAAACGTTTCCGCGGCATTTTAGAAAACAGTATTTTTATTTTCGTTTTTTCTGATGTTCGCAACAGAAAAATAAATATCCATTTTTTTTATGAAGTCACTATACACTTATAAATAATGAACGTTTTCAAAAACTTGTGAAATAGCCTATTGGCGATGACAGGCTATCAGTGCTTATAAACGCACACTTCATGAAACTTTGTATCTACGAGTATGCCTTCTTTATTCATGTGCCTTTACTAATAGTTTAGCTAGTGACAAAAGTCCCGTCATTGAAACATTGCCATAAAATGTGTAAACTATTATCACATTACGAAAATAAGCTGTAAATGGATTTGATAAGTTTGAAACGTTTTGATTATTACTAATGGCCCACCCATCTTTACATACATATTTCTTATTTATGTTTATGCAAGTGCATTCCTCCGAAATGGCGTATCTTCGATGATTTTTTATTTATGCAGTCTAATTTCTAAGATTCACACTGAACGTTAGATGGAAGCGTAGTCAAGTTCTGTTCTATAATAACGCAATTTAATATATTAAATGGGATGTGAAATGGCAGCTAGTCTAAAAATAACAAAAGCATAATTTAAGGATCTAAAACGTCAGAAATAATGAAAAGTTAATACTTCGCACTTTATTACCCGTTTAAAAAGTAGTTTCTTAAATAATGAGATAATATTGAGTTATCAATATAAATTTTCTTATTTGCTTTTCATACACCTACAAAAACGATTACTATTGACGAACAAATTAGCCAAGTCGGTCAAGCAATTAACGTTTCTTGTTCCTTTTTTTTCTTCTTTCAAAGTTTTAAATTTGACATTTTATTTCAAATTTCATCATTATTGATCGCGCTTAGATATCGTTATGATAGCCACTCACTTGAAATGTTAATTGAATAATGTTTTTATTAATGTTTTAATGTAGTGGTTAGTAACTATAATTACTCCAATAAAAAAATTAACAAGATAAAATAAGCAGATTTGGTATAGTTAATAAATATCAAATCATATAAAGAATATTGAGCGTATTCGAATATTATCAGTCCCGGGTGTCAGAGTTTAGTTTTATGCCAATCAAAGAATAATAAACATTAATTGTGCCCAGTGTCTTATTTATCAAGTCTACCTCTATACTTTTTAAAGAATACGGATTAGTCGCATACCTTTTGTTTTGCGTCAAACATTGTCTTTCCGAGCGGCACGCGATATATTCTGCACTATATTCCCACAACTCAATACTATTGTGAAATCCGTTATTGTGCCAACATCTGCATACATGCTCATACGGTATTTATGTGTTTTTGAAACTAGTTTGCATAAACGCAGTAATTATCTGAATACCTTAATGTATCACAGTAAGGAGACTGTTTTCTCGCATCTCTCATCTTCGCGTACTTTATCACCGCTTCATATTAAGTGGAGTCAAGATATTTCCCTACCTAAATATTCAAAAATAACCAGGCAAATATTAATGATGGTTAAGCTAAGGTAAAACTTTAACTCATAATAGCCTGCCCAGACGAAGAACTTTTGTGGAGGCGCAGGACAAAAGTCCCTGAATGGTGAAGAAAATATTCACCGAGGACTTGCAACGGACTCAACACACACGATGTGCAAACAATTGTCCCTCGAAATTTTAGATAAGCACACGTTATGGAAGTAAACATTCCCAGATTACGGTGTTTCGAAATTATCATGAAGCTGGAGAAAAAGACAAGTCGTTTTAAAAGAAAAAACTTGTTCCATTCCTTTAAATCGGATCGAGCACTCAACGCGGACTACAGTTTGCTGTGTGCGTTGCTGCGCCTAAGTTACATAAGTTCTATTTATTTTTGGGGACTCCCGCGTTCTTTTCTCCTGTCCGGTCTCTCGGTGTCCGTCTTTTTAATCCGTCGTGCATGTTACTCGATGTAGTTGTAAACAATCTATTTCGGCGGACAAAAAATACCGTGGACATAAGTCCATCTTCTGCGTAGACCATAAATGTTTAAGGTCATTTGTCTGATCCGTAAATGAAGATGTGGATATTTTCATTTAACAGAATCAGATCGTTTATGTTCATATCAATGTCGAGAGCCTAATGGGACGCGATGCGTTGCGACCTTTGTAACTTTATCCTAATGCCTGCACATAATACCTTCAAGGTGGTGTCATGAACTCCACTATTACAACATTTAGACATAGTTTTTAGCGACTGCATGCACCACACTCTTTTATGATTTTAGCCCTTTGGCTTGTGCAAATCGGTAGATTATATTATTTCAGTGATTCGTGACTTATTTTCTTCAAAATAATATATAACTAATAAAATAATAAATAAAACCGCGCTCGAGAATGTCCAGGTGACATTTTTTTATGCAACTTTGTGACTCTCCCATTTATTAATGTTCAAATTGTCATATTATTATTGCAATGCAAACTTTCCTGCATTTAATTAACTAACCTTTCTTTAATCCGACGCGCTCGAGTTCTCCAACGATTTTTTTTTACTAATTTGATCAACTGCCGTAGACATTTGACACTATATAAAGGGCTAGGCTATGGTGGTATTTTACAAGATGCAAGGTTGCTCTCTTTATGTTATTCTGCCGCGCTCGAGTAAATCCCAAAATCCCCGCTTGAGCTCCCCTACTACTATTAGGGATGCAGGATTTACTCGTTCTACCTATCTTGTTTTGGTGCCAATATTTTTTTATATAGCGATTTTTGGATATAGCTTCTGAATTTTATACACTTAAATATAAATGATTCACGTTTACTTTTTTTCCTATTTCAGCGTATAAACAGTATCATATCTATCTTTTATAAAACGAAATTAGGAAGATGTCACCTGCGCGTGCGTTGATCGCGTGTTAAACGAAGGCCGCATGCCGTAAACGGACACACGCTATTGGCACAAAAAATAGACAAGACAGAATCTTGTCTCCATTTTTGGTTTAAGGTGTACAATTTAGCAGTAACTTTACTTCTTACTAACCGGTCATAGTTAGGTACTTATGATAAATATATATAATCTAGTGTAGATAAGTTAGAATTGAAATATAATGAATCAAATTTTAACTGCATTTCGTTTTTGCAAAGCTTTTGTGTCCCTTATGGTTAATATCAAAGCAAAGTGCGGTGGTATAAGCTAAAATTTTACCGTCATCGTTATCATTTGATTATCATCATTCATCTGCTGTGTCACTCGTTTTATAATATATATATATATATATATATATATATATATATATATTGTCACTATTCACCTTCACATCACTAATAGTATCTTGAGATACTTAGGCCGGTCTTAAAAAGACACCGACAGAGATATAAGAGAAGTTTAACATAACGTCTTCAGAACATATACCTTGACGAATCAATGAATCTGTTAAGTTGCTCGATATTGTTTGGATTATGAAAGTAAAGTGACTTTAGTAAAAGCCGGTCACAGGTTGTGTGACCAAATAACATCTCGATTAAGTCATTATTTCTATTACCAAATTTATCAACATTATTTCAGTGACTAAGAAGTGGCAGACAGACAGAGTTACTTTATTTTCCAAATTTATAATATTAGTATAGATAAATTACGTCATACATTGTAGGGATACAGTATTTTCATCTTTGATCGCCCGTTTATATATTTGTACCTAGAATAAATTATAGATGACCCCATCTACATGGGGTAAATATTGTGTTGGGCGATAAATAAAACTACAGTGTAGAAGCGCTGTATACATATATTAACTTTGTTATTTTGAGTAGACTGGCTCTTATAATATAATTTGGAGTCAAGTTAAATCCTTTAATACCTGCATTTTATATATAACGCAGTACCCATATTGGCATGAAGATTCTGTTCTGTAACATATAGCTTAGCTACTGTTTCTTTTGTGGACACTATTAGCGAGCGGGCATTATGCCTTTGTGTATCCGACTGCATGCCTGACCCAAATTGTTGAAGAAGCTCAAATGGCACGACATTTACTACGCATGTAACTTCAGTCATCAGATTGCAATGTTTCATGTCTCAACAATCAAGGTCGTGGTGCAAAGGCTACGCTAGGATTTAATATCGCTGATATTAAGGACGACGGTGATCGGCTACACTGGATGCAACTTTTCATTCTGATGATTAAATTTTGACTTAAAATGGTTAAGACTTGTGTCAAGTTTGACATAGCTGCATCAGGATTGTAAGTACGATATGCAAGGATCTGGGGCCCAATTCTCGCGGCGTAGATATTATATCGGCTTCGAGATAATATCGAAAGGAGGGATATCTATTGAAAATATCTACTGATGGTAAAAAATGCTATTCTCGTGGATTTTCGATATTCCAATGATATTATATCTATCGTAGATATTCTGTCACTGCCGAATGCGTTCCGTTTTTCTCGATTAAGTTAACATCATAGTCTATATAAAATAATAATAAATTAGAGCAGAATTTTACAAGCAACAAAATGATATTTTATGAATTCCATTCATATTAAATATGAGTATACATTTTTTGAGTATAAGAAATCTCAACTTTACCTAAATTGTATGCGTGTATAATTTCAACGTTATGTATAATGAAACGTCAATATTATTTAAGATTCTCCCTTTTTAGGGAAGGCAAAGGGAACAATGCCCATACAGCCAAGTCTTTAGTTATATTAATCTTCTTTTTTTACATTAGAATGTCGGTGTGACGATTTCTAATGTTTCTTGGAGTGTTTGGCACGAAATTTATGGAGTTGGCTTTTTCTCTAAGCTTCTGTGAGGTAGTCAACACTACAATAAAGTTCTCGCGTCCACTTGACCGGAATAGCGTATATATTAAAGATTCCACTAATTCTTCAGTTGAGCAGACGGTTGTAACACCAAATCACACCAATTTTATTTCACAATATCCACTATGAACGAATTTTAGAATAATTAAAATAAGACGCCAACCACACTCGCAGAAATCCCGCCAAAAACTCCGTATCGTCAATAAGAAAATGGTGTCGATTCTGGCATGATTCTCTAAACCTAAACGTAAATTTGACAACAGTGTATCCTTGTCATTCTCCATACAGAATGAAAAGAAGAGACTGATGTTAAATTTAGTTTTAAGTTTAGAGAATCGTGTCAGAATCGATACCAATGTCATTCATAACTTTATAGATTTCTAACCAAATTTTTTTTAAACGTAATTTTTTTATGAAGTCGGCGTCCCTCATTTCAATGGGCCTCTCTTGCTCTCACAACGGCGGCGCCTTAGCACAGCAGCAGCAATCACGTCATTTACTAAATCATTGACGAAAACATGAATCAACTCATCCATCGTTAATATAAACTGGTGTCGATTCTGGCACGATTCTCTAAATCTAAACTTAAACTTGACAACAGTGTTTCCTTGTCATTCTCTATACAGAATGAAAAAGAGAGACTGATGTTAAATTTAGGATTAAGTTTAGAGAAGCTGAACGCACAAACCGTGCATGCCATAAAAAAAAGAAAAAGAAGAAGTTTAGAGAATCACGCCAGAATCGACACCATTGTTTACCTACTTCTTTATTTACTAATTATTTATGAAGGCAGTTAACAACATCTTGAGGTAACAATAATTGGCAATGACACACGACAACACAACAAATAATAGGTAAAAAAAGTGGAAATAACAAGAATGACATGCCAAGATCCATAGATATTTATATATCGAAAGCTCTTTACCAGTCGATGTATGTCTACTGATCATCCGTAGATAAATATCTATTGCGACATGGTGAGAATAGGGCAAAAAGGTTTTCCTTCGATAAAAGCCAGATCATTCGATATATATCGAAGGTGATATAATATCTATGCCGCGAGAATTGGGCCCCTGATTGACAAAGATGGCGAAACAATTTGATGAAAAGCAATGAGATTTCTCATCTACGGTTTTGTTTTGAACACAGGATTTCAGTATAATACAGATCTTCAGTCGGTAAAAGTATGCATGAAATATGCCCAATGGGCTCAAGTAATATATGGAAGCTGAGCAATATCCATTGATAACAATCGTTTTCGGAGTTCCGTTCTCCGAACTCTCCAAAAACTCTGAACGGAACTCCAAAAACAATTGTTATCAAAGGATATTGCTCAACTTATAGCAGCGATACACCGACAGTCCTGGCTGTATTGCGCTAACTCCGGCCGGTTTCCAGCACTGTGAGAATTCTGGTGCATTTTTCAGGTGTAAGCGACATGATTACAGCTTGAATAATTAATATTGAACACTATTGACATGGTTTATATAAATGATAAATGACAGATTAGAAACAAAAGCAAAAACAAATGCAGTAATTTCGTATTCTTATCTTCGAAAGTCCCCCTTTTTCAAATTTGTTTTTTTTATGACATAACTTTACTATAACTAAAGAGTCTTAATATCTTCATTTAAAAAGTATTTAATTGTATATTAATTAGGATTTATTTCATTAAGTTAACATTCTTATTTTGCGAGATTTTTAGGATCCTTTAAGTGACCCGGATTCATTGCTCTCGAGTGTATAATGACTGAATTAATTTACTGAGTGAATTTATAAATACGAATTTTGTTTATACGGTCACTACCCTGCTTTTAGTCGTCAAGTTGTCTGTTTACCTAAAATGTTTTCTACTGATTGACTTACATACATCTCACAAAACTATCTGGACTACTTTGTGGCAAGTGCATTCTTAACATTGTGTTTCGTGATATTCAATTGTTCATTAAAAAAAATTGTTCTGTGGTCTCTACATAACATAAAAAAGATGCTTGTGCCTGTAAATTATTTTATAGTTTTATTACAATTTGGCGACGGTTGCTCATTAATTGATACAGGCGTCATAGGAAATTGCAGTATTTTATTGAAAAGAACCGTTTCATAGTCTTAACAATAACTTATTTTAATTGAGAGAAAATTTAATACATTTACTATTATATAAAAACTGTTGCTAAACATAAATTTGAAATTTATTGCAGAAAGTAATACTCTTCCTGGGCTTCGTGGTGCTGGGGAGCTGTGCACCGCAAAAGCCTTCTGATCAAGTGATTGCTATTGTCAAACAGGACTTTGACCAGCAGCCAGATGGATCATATAGATACAGGTGAAACTTTTCATGTTTTTATTTTATATGGGCATCTACCTATTTTGATTAAAAAAAATGTTTGTCCATTAGTGGAAGTGATTTAGAGTAGATTGATTTGTGATATAAATTTAGTATATTTTTTTATATTAGAGAAATAAAATAAAGTATGTTCACATCCGATGCCCTGTGAATTCCGCATGGGTTTGAAGTTGGTTATCGTAAATTCTTATGTCTGTTATTATTTTGAAAATATAACGTAAAGGATAGTACTTACATGTTTCGATAAATAGGTAGCGGAAATTTTCTTCCCTTTTTTTCTGGGTCTTTAAAGTCAATATTATCATGAATTCAAAATTATTTTTCAAAAGACCAAATCGTTTCCTTGAATACCTATTCAAATAGTCCAAATTAAAATTCTAGATTTAGTTTTAGTACTTCATAAAGTGTCATGATTCACCGAATTAGGTAAATATGTCAGTAAGTAAATGTTTTGCAAATTAAGATTTGTGTACATTATGAAACAATATTTGTCCCAGATGGCATTCAAGTGTTCTTTTAATAATTTAGGTAATTTAAAAGTTGTAGGTACATACTACTGTAGAAGTACTACAGAGGTCTTAAATAAGTAGGTAGCTTCTTTCTATTCGTTTGAACGATAACGCCAATAAGTTTCAAAATAAGCAATAAACTTAGAAATTACCCCTCGATAGCCAGCCAGATAGACAGATCGATAGATAGATCAGCTAGATAATGGTATCTAATATTTATTAATTGTTAAGAATTGATAAGCCTAAAAATCTTATTACTTATTTTTAAACTTTAAAGTTATAGAAAGCTTTGCTTGAGATATGGCAACTTGTACGGTGCCATGTAAGTGTCTTCTAAAATATTCAGTTTTAGTTTAGCCTGAGTTCATATTGTGCCACATAAAACAAGCGCAGTTATACAAAGAAAGTAACAATGATCCTTAGAAATAGGCATATCTAAGTTTGATTACTAAGGAATAGTTTTAACAATTTACATCAAAAAATCATGCAACAAATACTTAAGCAGCCAAGCTTATGATTATTATGAGTTTTACTTAATGTTATTCTTATTCAAATAAAGAAAGTAATACCTTTATTTCAGATAAATGCTGTAAATGTCGATATAGAGTTTAGGAAGGTATTGAAACTTGATGTATTATGGTTCCAGCTACGAAACTGAAAATGGAATCAAAGCGGAAGAGACAGGCACCCTGAAGAAGGCGAGCGGTCCCGACGCAGCCGACGTGATCGTAGCTCAAGGAGGGTTTAGCTATACGGCGCCTGATGGGACTGTCATCAACCTGAATTATGTCGCTGACGATGAGGGCGGATTCAAACCTGAGGTGAGATGCATTAATAAATACTCTTCCACTGTTTTGCGTCTTACTCATTGAGGCGTGATAGCAGTACAGTTTAATTACAATGCGCCTGATGTCACTGTCATCAATCTGAACTATGCCCCAACGACGAGGGCGGATTCAAATCTGAGGTGGGATGCAATATGAACTACTCTTCAACTGTTTTGTGTATTACTCACTGAGGTATAATCGCATTACAGTTAAATTACATTGATAGCACTGCCATCAAACTAAACTATGTCGCTGACGATGAGGGTGGATTTAAACCTGAGGTAAGATGCATTAATAAATACTCTTCCACTGTTTTGCGTCTTACTCATTGAGGCGTGATAGCAGTACAGTTTAATTACAATGCGCCTGATGTCACTGTCATCAATCTGAACTATGCCCCAACGACGAGGGCGGATTCAAATCTGAGGTGGGATGCAATATGAACTACTCTTCAACTGTTTTGTGTATTACTCACTGAGGTATAATCGCATTACAGTTAAATTACATTGATAGCACTGCCATCAAATTAAACTATGTTGCTGACGATGAGGGTGGATTTAAACCTGAGGCATTAAGAACTACTACCTTCCTACATTTTTTTTTATCTCAATCATGCTTCTTCAAATAACCAAATACAAATTGAGTACTTTTGTATTTTAGGAGTTCTATTGTTTGTGTCCGAGAGTACTCATCAGATGTTCACCAAGTTAATATATCGAAATATCAAAAAACAAATTCAAACAAAAAAGAATCATAAAAATCGGTCAAGGCATCTTGGAGATACGCGCCAACAGCAATGTACTGACGAATTGAGAACCTTCTCCTTTTTGAAGCTGGTAAAAAAATAAATACCTACCTGATTTAATAGTAGCTCAACGAGGGCTCAGCTATAATATAGTGTAAATTATTATTTGCTTTGGCTATAGTGTGCGTAGTCGCACTGTCATCAGTATGAACTATAATTATTGCAAATGTTATGCTTTAATTTACATCTAAGTTGTGTTTTAAATCTGAAAATAATCAGCTATTTATAAACTTAAAACTACAAAATTACGGTAAAAATGGACTGTTCTACAATGTTTAAAAAAAAATTGGGTTAAAAGTTTTAATAGGCACACCATGACGAATATGATGACGTTGATAACCGAGAATAGCAATAGTATTAAAAATGTACGCAAGCAAATTGAATCATGAACATTCATGATTCAATTTGTGAATACAAGGTTTTTGCCACAGATTCGCCCTTGCTTCCAATACAGGACTTTAGATCCAAAACAGTGGATAGGATTTCTACTATCGGTCAACCTAATAATTTCGCAAAACATAAATTCGCAGAACTGCTGAGTTATTTGGTACTTTGTGCTTGCAAATCAAATGATGCATATTTATTTCTGTCTCGTTTACTTTATCTGTAGACGTGTTTAGTTAATAATGATCATTCAAGGCTGTACAATGTCCCACTGAGCCCATGCGTCATGCGTTTAAGGATGTGAGGATGTCAATTACATGACAAAAGTATTTGATCAATAAAGTGTATTTTTAACTTATCACGTGTGCAACGTTTGGTTGAGTCTGTTTGAAAAATACTTTCGTATATTTTTTGAAATTTAATTATTTTAACTCAAGGCAGCAGTGGTTAGCGAGTTCTTTCTGAATCTGCGATCTTGGTAATTAAGCGACTGTTGAAACAGTCAGTCATACGGTGGGTGATCAAAAAAGCATAATCTCGAGCTCTTCAGTGTTCGGGAAGGCATTTTAAGCAGTGGTCCTGCATGCATCTGTAGTGTTGATCGCTCTTACGAAACCACTTTGGGCTGTCATCACCACACAATCTACCAATATGGAGAACTAGTCATAACCTATTTTCCCTATTCCATCTATAAATAAAGTTTGTGCACCAGCAGTAACGACATTAATAAGCTGATGATAAGATAGGTACCTACAGCGATCGACAAGTCAGAAATAACCCTCATTTTACATAATATGGTTGGGCAAAGGTCGTATCAGACATATCAACTCGGAAAGGGATCGTCACCATATCAATTCGAGCCGTTCAGTCTGTATTCTTTGTATGAAACTCCCTACTGCAATGCACATTAATCGGAATCTTAAAGTAATCGTCTCCCCTCGAGACACGAGTTCCGTGGCGAGGCGATTACGCTAGGCGAGGCATTTTTAGTGTTGTATTTAAGTGAATTTAGTTTCGCTAATTGAGCTTGTTTTTAGTAATTAAGGTCTATATCTAGCAATGGGCTATGGGCTGATGGTTATGATGGATTAGGTTTGATAACGTAAGTATGACTGAAATTTTCCTCCTCTACTCTACTCACCCTTTAATGTCGGCTGGAGTTATCTGTTAAGCATAGTATTAAATGTCTAGTTACAAGCACTGCTCTTTTATATTATTGAGTAAATCCATTGGAGCACATTGTGTGAACATTATAATAAGTTGATATGAATTTGTTACAGGGTGCACATTTGCCGACTCCACCACCTATACCACCAGCTATTCAGAAGGCCCTCGATTTCCTCGCGACCTTACCACCACCACCACCGTCAAGGAACTGAATGTTGGAACACCTTATCTACTGACACGATTACCCTTATATGCTGACTACCGAAAGCAAGCTCCGTTTTGCAAGCGACACTTCCACTAGGAAACCTTTCCTTTAAGTGAACAAGATGTTATTACTTACAAAACGGCTCCCACGATATTAACAAACTATAAAGCAATAAAAATCCCATAAAAATGAATGTAAACTAATGACTGGACTGTGATAGACTTGATGATTGCGACAAAAAAAATGTACTATTTATTATTATTAAGTTTTATTAATAAAACGCATATTCAGTGCCAAAGAAGCATTGCATATCGTTGTTTGTATTTCTGCCCATCCTAATTGGTAAATGGTAATTTCGTGACATTGTGTTTCGATTAGCATTACAAATTGCCTATAAAATGTCACAAATGTGTTAAGTTGTGATGTCATTGTTATATCATTTACAGAAATTGACAAATAGCGAATCGGTTAAATTTACATCTATTATATAGCAAAATAAAAACATATTAATCAAATGTAAATTGCTGTTGTTGATATGATTTATTTAGCTTTAAAAATACAAACAATTCATTACTACACCAACGTTCTAAATACAATTTAAGTGGAATCCAATTATTTATAATATTACTTTATCTTCGTCAACTGTTTGAAGTAATTAAACATTGATTTGTATTAATTTCAAGTTACTGGAATAAGGTTAGGTAAATAATAAGTTTTTCACAGAATTTGAATACGAATCGTATTTATATTAGCAACCGTATTTTCTAGAAAAAGTTGACGCAACTATAAATCAACAACATGTATTTTTTGTACCGCATGTTTTACATACAAACAGACTTGAGATCCAAATTAAATATTTCTAATTAATTAAATCCTTCCGTCTCTCTATCTATCCTTCATAAAGCAAGATATAAAAATATCGTATAAATAATAGAGATGGGTTCTAAATTATAAAAAAAAAAATTCTTTTGGAGTCCACTTTGTTCAGAGCTCAGTTAACTTGTCTAACTTCTATTAAATTCTTATATATGAGCAAATTATGGGAAGCATTCCTCTAAGTAAGTAGGTACTTGTTCAACTAAGCGTTGGTTGAAGGTTATGGATGAGAACTTACAATCTATTATTGAACTCAGCGTGGTAGGACGGTCTGATTAAATAACCATATCGTGGCATGCAACAATAGATTAGAAAGAGATGTCTATAGTATTAATGAAATATGTTATAACCTTGTCCAACCCTTCATTTCGTGACTCATTTAAGACTTTTAATATTCAGAGGAAGGAAGGATAGTCATTTTATATTTCGAGATAAGAATGAGTCCTGTTTTAATAATTTACTGTGCTACCTCAAGGAACCGAAAAATATCTTGTACTCTGACAATATTACACGCAACTGCACTCCCTCGCACTAAAAGTGCACCTTGCTAACATCCGAGGATTGCACTCAAATATCGATAGTGTCTATCACCACCTTGAGACCAATAAGCCACATCTGCTGTTCCTCACGGAGACTCAAATAAGATGCCCAACTGACGCAGCTTACTTGCATTACCCAGGTTACATCCTGGATCACAATTTTAAATCCTGGCACCTGCGTGTATGCTCGTGTTGACATCTGCTGCCAACGTCTCCGCAACCTGGAGGATCCCAGGAGGAGGCTATGGAATACTTTATTCCATATTCTGACGTACATTAGCATTTTGCGTATCGCTCCTGGGCGGATGCTCGAGCCCGCAAATCACCAAATGTTCGAAGTCTGAAGAAGGCCTTTAACAGTGCCGCCAAATCCTGTAAAGGTGTTCTCCGCAAGGCCCGCTTCGATCACATTGGCCGTATAGCAGCCAAATTAGCCTCCTTTCCATCCGGAAGCAAAACTTTCTGGTCCCTAGCCAAGACAGTCGAAGCCAATTTTTGCAGGTCGTCGCTGCCGCCTTTAATTAAGCTTGACGGATCGCTGGCTCACACCTCCAAAGAGAAGGCGGACTTGTTTGCCTCTATATTTGCGAACAACTCACAACTAGATGCTGCTGGCGTAAACCCACCTAAGCTTCCTCAGTGTTCTTCTGCCATGTTGGAAGTTCGCATTCATCAGAAAGAGGTACTCAAAACGCTAAGCACTCTAGACGTGAGAAAGCCAGTGGGCCCGATGGCATTCCAGCTATTGTCCTGCGGAATTGTGCCCCTGGTTTGTCTCCAATTCTGACTCGCCTATATCGCTTATCCCTTGAGATTGGCCAAGTTCCGAAAACCTGGAAGCTTGCCAATGTCCAACCAGTACCCAAAAAGGGTAGCCGTGCCGAACCTGACAACTATCGACCTATTGCAATCACCTCCATACTCTGTAAGATTATGGAGCGTGTATTGAACAACCGTCTCCTCGTTTACCTCGAAGATAACGATCTCCTCTCCTCAGTGACTGCCAATTCGGTTTCCGCCGTGGGCGATCTACTGGGGATCTTCTTGTTTATGCTACCCACTTATGGAGTGAAGCCATAGAGAAACGCGGCGAAGCTCTCGCCGTTTCTCTTGATATTTCTAAGACTTTGGCAGGGTCTGGCATGCAAGTCTCATTGGTAAGCTTCCTTCATATGCAATCGCTGTCGGACTTTGCAACTGGATTGCAGATTTTCTGAGGGGCAGATCGATACGAGTGGTCATTAATGGCACATCGTCGGATCTGCTTGGTATTAATGCCGGTGTCCCCCAGGGTTCTGTCCTCTCCGCAACTCTATTCTTGCTGCACATCAATGATCTGCTCCTAACTCCCGGTATCTTTGGATATGCTACGACAGCACAGTTTCGGAGAGATATCTGCCAGATGTGAAGTCTGATGCAGATGTCCGATCATTAAGGGAGGCGATGGTGGAGGGAGTGAATGCAACCCTGGAAGCTGTTTCCCTCTGGGGTGAAGCCAACTTGGTTGGATTTAATTCCTCTAAAACACAGGCCTGTCTCTTCTCGACGAAACGGAGTCCATTCCATCTGACTCCGACTTTCCGAAATGTCTCCGTGCCGGTTAAAGACCATCTCGAGCTCTTGGGTATGGACATCTCATCCAGCCTCAATTTCGGTCGCTACATTGAGTCCATTGCTAAAACCGCTGCCAGAAAACTTGGAATACTTTCTAAGGTCAGGCGATATTTTACATCTGAGCAGCTCCTTACATTTCGGAGAGTGTGCGGAGGTATTACATAATTTGATCCCCCCTTCCCCTTTCCACCACCGGACAACCAGGCGCGGCGAGGGCTTCCACCCTTATGTTGTCAAAGTTCCTCCCATTCGCACGAAGCGATTTGCTTCGGCCTTCATTATGCGAACAGCTGGGGAGTGGAACTCCTTGCCGAGGTCTGTTTTCCCGGACCAATATAATCTGGACATCTTCAAGGCCAGAGTGAACAGGCATCTTCTAGGCAGGCGTGTACCATCCTAGGCCTCATCATCACTTGCCATCAGGTGAGATTGTGGTCAAACGCATTGCCTATTATGCATAAAAAAAAAACTATTTTCTTTTAAGTTACAACTCTTTTGGTATATTCATTTCAATGCAAGCAAACATTTTACTTTTTCTTTTATACTCGATTTTAGTCTTATTTTAACTTAACATCTTTAGCTGCAAGATATAACGGTCTGTAAAATTACAATGTGATTTGAGGCGAACGTGGAAAAATTTAACATTTTAGCTAACATTAGCCCAATTCTCTTTCAGCTTGACTGAACAGGCGAACTAGAAGATATATCTCTTAATCTTCGCGTCCCCTGGGCCTTAATTATTGATACAAAAAAGGTGAAGTCAATTAATCTTAACAATCGATTATAAGTTCTTTTTACTGTAGGAACTTGGAAAAATAAGCATTTCAGCTAAAATCTGCTCAATTCTCTTTCAGCTTAGCTGAACAAGCGAATTAGAAGATACATCTATTTGTCCTCGTGTCCCCTGGAGATGAATATGATTAAACTTAACAATTCATGTATTATAATCAAATTCATTTGTATATTATGACAGAGTATCAATCGAGAACTGCTTGACTAATATGACCGGTTATTTTTGGTCGTATTTTTAGTTAATGTTTTATATGAATGAACGAAAAATCATTTTTTGGACACCGAGTGTATTACTGATTGACATTAATATCTAATAGTCAGCTATTTCGTGTAGCTCTAAACATCTACAAGTGAAATATGTGTAATCTCGAAGGGCGAATCACAGAAGTTTAATTAAAATTCAAACAAACTGACCTGTAAGTGATGTTCGATTGATATTAAACGATGTGATTCGCCCGAGAGAATACACACCCTCTCCCTGTCCCTGATCAGCTTTTATGAAGATATCTAGATGTCACACGAAATGGCAACAACCCGTGGACCGCTTTAGTCCAAACGTGTATGAATATATGAGATACCAGAATGCGAGCGTATATTTTATTGTATTTTTTAGGCAAAGCTTATTGTTACTCTAAAATTGTATACGATGGCAGCACATACTGCCTGCTACTACAAAGCGAATCACAGAAGTTTAATATATATTTTTGCAACTTATCAAAATATAATAAATGAAAATCCTGTATCACGATATTACAGTAGATAGATATTTTATATTATATCGCGTTGTCAGTTTTCATGAAGTTCTTTTGGCTTGGTTATGAGATACTAAAGTTCTTAAATTTTTGGTGATACTTTCATCAATACCGGTTGTTATTTATTTTGTCATAAAGTTGTTGGATTATATTGTATTTTTAAACACAGTTTATTTTTCACGTACTATGCCTGGTACTTCAAATTTACATTGTCAAGAAGAGTAAGCAAGTATATTGTAACTGTTTGCAAGCAGTGAGTGTTTATCGATCTTGTAATATTAACTTTGACAAGGGCATTGACTGTTTAATGAATTGGCAATAATAAGACAAACACACATACATGCATGTAGTTTCGAAATCAATTATCTTTAAACGAAATCTTAGCAATATTCCACCATTGTTTCCTGACACTAACTAAAGCTCAATTAGAGGCACAGGAGTGATGGTATTAATGACTTGTATATTTTATAAAATGACTTAGTTTCTTATTTATTAGAAATTTTAATCTGTAATGATAGTCATGCGATTAGGGAGCCTCTAAAGGTTCCGGTGCGTCAAAAATAATAATAAAAAAAAATGACCTTCTATAACGCTCTGCCAACCTGCAGGTATAATCGAAAACAACGTAATCATATTGTCTCAAATAATAATGTATATTAGCGAATAGTATCGACTTCTTTTTCAGACAGAAAATCATTTGGAATTCACTCATTTAGCAGAAATTTAAACGCATAATTTTGTAAGCCAAAATCATCTTTAGGTATATTCTTCTTCTCCTATCACCAAATAGAACAACTTGACGTGTTCTCCGCAACTCGACACCTGGTGCCTATTTTGCATGAGTGGATGGCTTTAGTCGTGCCATACCAGCTCCCCCAAGAAGCTCAGCAGTCTCTTGGTATCCCCACAGGCCTCGTGCAGTATCTACGGACTGCCCAGGTATGTCATTCGTGTGTATCGCCTCTGCACTGTAGCAGGACGTGAGTGCTCGTCTCCTCCTCCTCCATTCAGGCTCTGCACAGAGGACTGTCCGAGATACCTATTTTAAAGAGAAGTTTTTTAAAGTGTCCATGTCCTGTGAGGATGCTCACAATATGTTTCAAGGCGTGTATTGGTACCTTGCAAAACTTACTTGCTATCCGTGGGTCTACCTTAGGTATGACTTCCCTGGAATGAATGCCGTCTGCAAGTGTAGCCCAGTATTGATTGTATTGTCGTAGATATCGTTGCCTTATCCAACCTCGCAGCTATTAGTATGGGATAGGTACGATTGGTTTCGAGCAAAATACCACAGTGTTCGACCCTCTCCTGGCCAGGCAGTCTGCCACATCTTTGCCCCTTGACCCACTATGTCCTTTATTCCATTGAAGTATAACTACGTTTTCATTGGCTACCTCCATAAGTTTGCAGTGGCTCTCGAAAATTAGACCGGAGGCCATTATGTTGCTGTCTAGCGCCTGGAGTACCGAGGCACCGTCAGAGCGTATTCTTACTCCTGATTTCACGGCGTATAATGGCCTCCCCTGCTCTGACGATACCTGAACACTCCGCTTGATAGATCGTATTAAAGATAGGCTGTCTGATATATGTATATTAACATCCTCCGAGAACACACCTGCACTAGTGGTTTTGAAGTCGCTGTGTATACCCTTAGCTCCTTATGCAGTCTTCATATAGTTGTATTCTATATTTTTTACCAAATACATACTGTAAGAATCATGTCGTTTTTTGCAATGATTCAGAGCAAAAGATTCTTTCACGTAGGGGGAACCTTTACAAAATTTATAACGTTGTGTTATCATACATTTGGAAATTCTCATCAAGATGAAATATTTTTATTAAACAAATTTATCACATTTACAGCAAGTTTTATACTAATCCTAACAGGACAAGTAACAGTAAAATGAAAAACATAACAAATAAGAAAATAATTGACATAACAAAATCCACAGTTTGTAATCGATAAATATATTTTCCAATTTTGTAAGATTTTGCGGAATCATATTTGAGAATCCGTTGATAATGTGTTAAAAGCAAGTAGACACGTATAACTCAGCAAATTTGTACGAACATTGTACCTGTGCGACCGTACAAGATTTTGTTCAAAACAAAATGTTCGTTCAGCTATAGTGGAAATGAGTACCTACTAATAAGCGTTTTCACAGACAGTGGGCGAAAATGCAAAAATTTGTTCTGATCAAAATGTTTGCTCGGAACCTAGCTAATTGGAAACACAGCATTATAGAATCAAATCAAAATGCTCCGTGGCGCAGTGCAGTGTTACGTTACACATGTCTTAGAATAAAGTGTTAGTTTCTTATTTTACAGCCTCTGTGACTGGTTCTGGGGTAGTTTTTGTGGCGAGATATTTCAAGGCACGGGCTATGGCTGGTGGTATGGGCGGAGGCGTGGGCAGGTGGGCGCCCACTGGACGGTACCCGTTCTCATCCGCGGTGTAGGAAAGACTGTATTCATTGCCGTCTTTGCCCTGTAATGGAAATAGAAAGAAATTGAATTAGTATTTTATGAGAGATATATTTTATAAATTGGTCTTCTTCACGCTTAGTTACCTGAAGGAAAAGGGAAGGTGGGAAAAGGAAGAATAACTCCTAGAACACTAGCCATTTTATAGATGATTAAACGCGTTTAATGACGCCACACATCGCCAATGCTGCGGATCGCGCGCCGCTGTAACCTAACCAAACATCGGTTTCACGGATGTCTCCCCTGGACCGAGTCTATCGCGGCAACAAAATAATATAATTGGATTATCTAAATATCATCATTATAGACTGGTGACTTTTATATTTTTATAATTTGATTATGGCTTTTCTCCATATATAATTTAAAAGGCATTGGTGAATTCTGTCTAGACTGGAATATTACAGCAATAAGTTAAAAATAAACGCGTTAGAATGACATCGAATCACTTTAGAATATCATCGGAATTTTTATCTTACCCTAAGATAGGTTGAATCACTTAAAAAAAGTCTATTATTCAAATAAGTTTTCGACTTAACACTTTAACATAAGCCTTCAACTATAATCTTCATATTCTTTAATGTTAATTTGAACAATGTTGAAAATTCTTTACAGCTAAGATGAATGATAAATTTAAACATAAACTTGTTATTACTCAATGCATTTCAAAGTTAACAAGCTATGTCAAAAACAAAAGAAACACGACGTTATTGACGTATCTACGTTTAATCACGTAATGTTAAGTATTTAGTGTATTCATAATTTTACGGTACATACACATCCAGTTTTTTTACAAATGATTAATGTGATGTTAATGAATGACATCAATAGCTATCGGAAAAAAAATGTAACTATTTTGTTTGAGTACTTTGTAGTATTTTTTCATCAAATTGGTGATTATGTAGCATTGAATCAATATTTATCTAAAATTCGGTTTGTATTTTTTATTTACAAGAAAATTCACTACCATAATTTTTTTAGAACTTTTTAGTGAAAGTATTTTATCCCAACTTGTTCAATAAGTTTACACAACACAGCGAAATTAATAATTGATAGTCTTAGACCAGTATTATAGAAAAAATCTAGTCTTGAGCATAACTATGCTTTCTAACTAGAAAGGGATGTCGCTATATATAGCACATAGCGCACCCTTTCTAACTGTACTGAAGTAAAGATCAACACTTAGTTGTCATTCTGTAATACGAACCTTAATTTTGTTTTTTATATTAGAGCACTATCTATTTTGTTTCTGTGCAATTCCTCTTAAGTTATAAAATGCTAATAAAACTTAGATTACAACAGTTGCTAACTTTTCCGTCTAACCTAGATAGTAGATGGGCTGGCAACCTGTCACCATTGTTCATCTACATCATAATTAAAGGCCAACCAATACAAAATTTTCAGGTTTGTTGTGGAAGTCACATACCTATATGAAATTGATTAATTATATGCTTCACGTTTAATACTATGTTGGTCCCACAAGACAATTTAATATATGAATACCATAAATATAAGCTGGTTATACGGTAAACGGTCACATCTTATATCAATTCACTCTAAGCTCCATTAAAATTATCTTCAAACAAGAAAAATAGGGAATACATCCAAAATTAGCGGTAGGTGATAATTACTAATGCCTATTAATTTAAAGAACAAAGTCATAGTTATTAATTTTGTTATATTTTTATATAATTATGTTTATTTTACTAATTTTTATTTTTGATACTACATTATCGTTTAGGAAGTGTTTCTGTATATTAACTGTATGTGTGTTTTCAATAAATAAATAAATATCAGATTATGATAAATACTAAAGGATCAATGCTTACAACGTATGAAAAGCCACCGACTACTGATTCACCAATATTTTCATTTATCGATTTCAGTTCACCCTTTTCAAAAGCTTTGGTACCATCACCGCCCTCGTAACTGCAATAAAACAATAGACAAAAATTATGTAGGTACTATTGGAATTTAAAAATACCAATATGGCACAAGAATCTTTAGTTCGGTACCTGTAATGAAAATCACCGTTGTGGGAAAAGACGTAATTCTCCGATTCAATTATCGGTACCACAGGATCACGTTCACGAACTTTTTTGGCAAGCGTACGCATTGGTTCTTCTTTAGTTTGATTTCCCTGTGTTGCTCTTGGATTGATATTATTTAGATCATTGTCATTTTTGTTACCCCTTTTCTTACTTTGGCGTCTTCGACTTGATCTGGTTTTATCTCTTGATTGACTCGTGAGGTTTTCGGGTACAGGATCATATATTACTGCCACAGGAATTTGGATTTCCATTTCTGTGTTATAGGTTGATTTTGTGTTTGTTTTGGTATTTTTGACAGCAGAATCAGTAGTTACCTTTGAAGAAGAAGGTTCAGTTAAATTCACTGATCCATCTTTAGTATTGTCAAAATCTACTTCTACAGATTGTTTCTGAGGTTTATCGAATATTGTTAAAGAGTTGTCTTTTGTTTTTTCGTTGCTTTTGGTGGTCATTTCTGATTCACTTTGATGTACCGAGACATCACTACTTACAATCGTACTCACTTTTTGATTTCCTTCTTCAAAAATCACAGCTACAGGAACACTAAGAAGTTCTGCTGATGAAGGACGGTCTTGGTCATTATTCCTTTCTATTGGCTTTCCACTTTGAGGTTTTACATTTTCACTCACATGGCTGCTTTTAACACAAGAAATAAATACAATAATAATTGGAAACAACTTTACAATAAACATGTTGATTAAAATATTACAACATAACTGAGACACGTTTAAAGGTATAATGATGATGACCTAATCATTACATATACTAAAGCAGTTTTAAAATCACGATCAGAACACTAGTTTGACAGGAATGAATTGATTATTTCGTCTGTTCAATAATTTTTCTATAGTTATGACATCAACGTTTACTCAAAAAACCAGGAAGTTAATAGAAGTAAGCTAATATTAGAGCTAATTAAAAAAAAGGTTTGTTATTGGTTATTTAAAAAATAATAATGTGTTAATTGCAAACATAAGTACTTTAAACGGGAAACAAAGCAGGTGTACATTCAGGATTTACGCGATATTTCAGTCACAAAACTTAAACCGCGATACCTAAACAGAGCGTCAAGTATGGAAAAAAATGGTAATAGTTTTATAGCCTACTTATAGGTATTTTATAGCTGTTGCTCTGAAACAAAAAAAACCTTGCCCCAGATACGAGGTTTTTGGAATGGTGAGTTTAAGCAGAATTGTATAATCGTTTGAACGATATCTTTATACACACAGTTTAAAACAATGTCAACTTCTTTGATTTACTAATACTTATAAGTTTGTGATAGAGAATTTTAAGAAGTTTGATTATTTATTAAATTTAAAATAAGCGTTAAAAAATAAATAATAACGCTAATATCGCGAAATAGTAAAAGCTTTATCAACGGAAAAAGGAAATGAATAAAACAACGAGTCGGTAGTCATTTGGGACCGGGACCACTGGTCCTGACGGGGACATGGAATTAATAAATTATTTTGAGGCGGCATTCGGGACCGAATGTGATGTACCAGCCAGCTGTTATTATTGTTTCTGGATAGCATCTACAGAGAGGACAATGTTAAAAGTTATTAAGAAATTGTATGGAACAACAGTGCTATTCCGTAAAATTTTCACGCGCGAATCCGATGCGGATCCGTGCGGATTTATCGTTATCAGAACCACGAGTGAAAATTTTACAGAATAGCACTACTGATGCTTTATACCAATATTTAATTTATTTTATATAGCTTATGATGCCATATATTTGATTGTCTACCCCGCAAGTAATGTATGGATGCATGATTTTTTATCGATTTTAATTAATTAGAAATATGAATAGAAATCATAGAAACAATAGTGCTGTAATGTAATATGCCCAGTACAATATTTTCAGAGAACCAAAAATGCGTGAACCAAATAAGGTAAACAAACATAAAAATACACCCAACTATTGAGTTATGTAATAATATCCTTACAGTAAAATGTCATTGATCATAAATTCAGATTCAGCGTTCACTCACCTCAAGGAAGAATGAATAATTCATAAAATAATGCTGAAAAATAAGTATTGCCGTTGTAATTGCGGTTTCAGTCTTGACTGAAGCGCCTCGTTAAAGTGTTAAGTTTTAATCACGACGCATTGTCAGATATGATATCTCATTATTGACACCTCGGCCATTGTGCAATTTACCGAAGAACACATCAAGCAAGCGTTAAGGTTGAAATATTTAGCGTCAACTAAGGCTCTGCTAGCGGGGGGAGGGTAGTGTAAATAGGTGAGTCTTACATATAAGTGGTCATGAAGTCTGGAGATGTCACACTACAGTCTTTTTCGGAAAGGAAGACAGTGAAGATGTTTTTGAAATTAGCTCTCTTGTGCTCAGTTCTGAGTTGCGTACGCGCCGCTCCAGCTTCCACAGATGTAGTGCCTTTAGAAAAACAACAACCCACCGTGATACCTATTGTGTCTCAATCGGAAGAGTTGGAATCCAATGGGACTTTCAAATTTAGGTAAGTTATTTGAAAACCATAGAAAAAGTGTTATCGTGACGCGACATGAAATGATTTTGACGGCTTAACAGAAATAAGAAAAACATTAGTAGATAAGTGTGTATTGTAGTATATGTTTCGGATGGAAAAAGTTCAGAAAAATGGTATTTTTTTTTACCACTGCTCAATTAATTACAAAGGCTGAATATTAAGTGCTTCAATTAAAAAATATTCAATTAAGTTTAGTTTAATAAATGATAAAACAACATTTAATAAAATAAGATGTTATCACTTTATAGTAAAATTAAAAGCTACCTAATTTATAAAATTTATTCCAAAATAATATAAAGTTCTGAAATGAAATTTTATGGCAGCCGTAGTAAAAGTATGCATCGCTTTGGAACCTCGTTTAATTCCCACTTTTAATAACAATGGTATTTAAATCTAAAGAAAATTTTGCTATAAATAATTCCACATGGACCAGGCAGCAGACGGGACTCGAACCCACAGACCACTTCCTGTAGTAAGACTTTTTTGAAGTGCATTTCTTATCTTTTATATTCAAAATTATAACGTTTAGATATTACGAAAGGAAAACATAGTTATAAATATTTTTTAAGTATTTAACTGCTAGATATTTAAATCTAAAAAAATACTAGAAAAAACACCTCGCGGACCAGGCAGAAGACGGGACTGGAACCCGCACCCTTCGCTATTCGGGCGAATGCACTGATCATTATGCTACCGCGGCCCTGACGGCCGTGTCGAATTCTCTCTAGCCCTTCTTAAGCTGCAAAGCAGCGCCATCTCTTCGCATTGTAGGTAACCCACAATGTCAAATGAATACCTTTACAAGTATTAAATATTTGAAAGAAGAAATAGCAATTGTAGTTATATTTTTTAAGCATATAACCACTACTGTTACATGCTTATTTTGTGCGTGTTTGAATCCCATCTGTTGCCTTGTCCGCATGATTTTTTTTCTAGCAAAATTTTCTTTTGATGTTAACACAAAAAAAAATATAACAATGGTATTTATCAAGACTTTAAAAAAACTTTTAGTTTTAAGTATAACATTAAAATAACCGGCCTAGTATAAATCGGACTCTTTTTTGCGGCAATTTTAATACACATTCTATGAAAATTTCAACAGTCGTTACGGGGGTCATAAAATGCTAGCACCATAGATGAGGTGTAGTAGTTAGATTCCTTTAAGTACAGGAACCCAGAAACCGGGGGAAATAACCATTCAGTAATTTCAGTAAAAAAGTAAATATCTGGTTTTAAGTTACTATTTTTTATCGATGCTTGTAACATAAATGTTTAAGTTTTTTATCGTAGGCCTAAATGATATGAATGGTCATTGTCGCAAAATTAACATCAATAATAATCGACACAACCATAGTGAAACCAACAACGGCATTAGTGAAGTTAATTTATTCTGTAAACTTTTGCTGTTGATACATGGAAAAAACGACGGGTTGCACTCCGGGAGTGCAGGCAAAAGTGAAAACTTTAATATTAACGTTGCGCATTTTTGATATTTTGGAATGGGTAGGCAATAATTTTGCACGAATTGCTTTAATTATCAGTATAAAAGTACTATCATTTATGTGGTAGAATACAATATTTAATTATTGCGCTATCGTACACAAACATGAAAATTTATATTACATTAAAAAGTTTATCTCTCAGAAAAATCAACTTACATATATCACATTTAAGCGCACCTAGTGACATATATTGTAAAAAAAAAATCCTTTTTTTTCTCAATAAAGCTGCCACCTGGACGTCCTAATTAGAGACTTATTATTAATACGATAAAATAAAATATTTATACTATGTTTCATCAAATAAATTGAAAGTCAACAACTTTTCCAATTTTATTGTTTTCGTCTTAAGAATTTTCGATTAGGTCACATGTCCGGATGCGATCAGGTCACGTGTCATGACGCGATCAGGTCACGTTTAACAATTTTTACCCATTACAAAAAAAATGTACAACGCCGCTAAAGAAGTTTTTACTTTAAAAAAATGTTAATCGACGACGAAGCGTTTGCTTCAGATGGACCACCCAATGTCAACCTAGATAATCTCAGTTAGGAAAAACTATTCTTATCAGACGACGCACTGACCGGGTCTACCTTGTATCGTAGAACTTTTAATGTCATAATATTATGATGCGTAGCGGATACTACATTTCGCAGAAAAACATTTGACATTCACTCATTTAGCAGACATTGAAACGCAAATTTTGTATACCAGAATCATCTTTAGGCATAAATTATTATGCAAAAAATAAAATAAAAAGCAGAACTATCATATCGCAGAATGCTAACAGTCAGAATCTCCTTTTGGCATAAAAATATTTAACTTTTTCTTGTTTAAATTTATGTAATATTCGCATTGTAAGTAACCCACAATGTCAAATAAATACCTTTACAAGTATATTTTGGGTTACATACAATTCGAAGAGATGGCCTTGCAGTCTTAGAAATACTAGAGAAATTTCGACACGGCCATCAGGGCCGCGGTAGCATAATGGTCAGTTCATTCGCCCGGATAGCGAAGGGTGCGGGTTCCAGTCCCGTCTTCTGCCTGGTCCGCGAGGTTTTTTTTTCTAGTATTTTTTTAGATTTAAATATCTAGCAGTTAAATACTTAAAAAAATATTTATAACTATATTTGTTTCTTAGGTTTTCACGCACATCACTCATTAAATAAAACTAGTTTTTACGGGTTAATGCACGAAACTTTATTTATTTATTGACGTTTCGCAGCCTTTTCAGGTCTGCATCGTCAGAATAATGATTTTTTATTTAAAATTGTCGAGCTACCTTCGAAAGACTTAAAAAGGCTGCGAAACGTCAATAAATAAATAAAGTTTCGTACATTAACCCGTAAAAACTAGTTTTATTTATAACTATGTTTTCTTTTCATAATATCTAAACGTAATAATTTTGAATATAAAAGATAAGAAATGCACTTCAAAAAAGTCTTACTACAGGAAGGATAATAAAAAATATCCGTATATATATATACTCGGTCATTTATAAATATATTTTCCTGACGAACCACCCATCGTACGGTTGATAAAAATGAAATTGTTATCCAATCATCTATGTGTATAGAATAAGTGACCCGTTAGAATAAAACGAGTAAAAATATTTTTTGTAATACACCTGCTCGGAAAGTTCTTTATTCTTGTTTCAAAACCTCAATCTCATTACTGTTGTACTACTAAGCGGGCTGGAAAAGTGTATGGAAATCCTTTTTTTGAAAACTCGCTGAGCGGACAGAAAAGTCTATGGAAATTCATTGTAAATGTGCTGTTTCTTTATTCCTTTTATTTAAATGTATGTTCCTAATGCGCTTACCACACGCACAAGCTTCCCAATTACGGTGTATTAAGGCCCTTGGCTGCGCCTCGAGCCTCAAACTACACCCACGTTGGTAATCGGTCACTTTTTCCGCTCGGTGAACAATGTACTATTTTTCAGCTACGAAACCGGCAACGGCATCAAACGGGAGGAGATCTCATACGAGAAAGTAATTCCGAAAGCACGTTCGGCTGGCAGCGAGGAGGGCGGAGAAAATGATGAAAGCAATGAAATCCACGTACAGCAAGGATCTTATTCGTATGTTGCTCCTGATGGCACTGTTATTTCCCTCAAGTAAGAATTGAAGAAATTGTCTTTTAATCAGCTATTTATTTATATTACTGGTTTTGAAACATATATAATGTTAATAGCTTATTTTTTTTATCAGAAATAGTATAGAATATAGATCTATATTCTGTGTTCTCAGCATTACTATAACGTGTTGTTTATTTGATACTGATGTTAATGATATGAACTTAAAAAAATATATAAGGCTCGTCTCATTATAGTTCCTTTATTAAGGTAGTGTGTTTGAATTAAAAGGAATTTTATGTAACTTTTATACTTCAGTTGGGGTAATAACCAAAACAGTGATTTAAATTCTAAATCTGTAACGGGTGGATATTTAAATAAAAGTAGTACCTGTATTATATTCAATATTAATAAATACTATTTGTGAAGGTAATTTAAAATTCCATTAAATAAAATATACCTTCTCTTATAGATACATCGCTGATGAAAATGGCTTCCGTCCAGTTGGAGATCACATTCCCCGGGCTCCAGTTTTAGTTCCACAATCGCTAGCTGGTAATAGTGAAAAATCTGGTCGTGCTCTTAAACCAGACACCAAGAAAGCTGAGTCTGCAAATGTGTCCCCGAATTCCGCCAAATCTGAACCATTAGTAGCTCCCAAAGAAGTAGCTAGCAAGGATTCAAGTCCACTTACGCCGGAAACGTCACCTGTGGCTTCTGAAGAATCAAATCCAAAAAACAGTAAGGTCATGTCATCGTCGGCAGTAGAAGAACCCAAAGCAGCTGCACCTGTAGAAGCAACAACAATTCCGGAAGCTTCTTCTAAGGCAGTGGTCCCTGAAGCCACTGAAACAGCTTTAAGTACGACTGCAGTGTCATCAGCAGAAGTTTCCTCATCTGTAGAAACAGCATCAACAACCGAGGCAGCTTTTGGTTCAAAATCAGCTGCAGAACAGTCTTCTCCTAAAACAAATTCACTAGAACAATCTATTTCAGCTGAGTCTGTCACATCTGGAGGGGTTACATTAAGTGGAGATGTCTCAAACGAAAGTGCAAGCCTTTCAACTAATTCTTCATAAATAAGGTTGATCAAAAAATTTAAATATAACTTCTATTCTAGCAAACGAATTTCACCTTTATTAAATAATTTTGTATCAAATGTATCTGTAAATATATTAATACGTTATTCAATTGTCGTTACGGGTGTAATGGATTTAAATAAATATTTTTCATCCTATAATTATAGAAAATGTGATATAAACCCATTTAAATAAATTTTATTATTTAATATGAGGTTAAACTTTTTTAATGATTAGAATGTTGAAAACGACAACGATTTTCATTATTTATTTTACTCCTGCTGATAGAAGTATTGTCTTAGTACATACTTCTTGGTCGATGCATAAGTAACTTTTATTTTAAACCTGACTTGCAATGCTTTAATGAATTATTTAAGCATTGCAAGATGGTGCAAGTGGTTAGCGCGTATGGTGTGCGACGTAGAACTTAAGGAATTTTCGCAAATGCCGGTCATCGGAAGGTAAGTTTAGCTGTTGGTTCCGATTGCATCTGTGCCCGCGTGATGGCCATGTGGCTAATTTCCCTTTTCTATCAATAGGGAAGGCCTGTCTCCCAGCAACTGAGATATAAAAGATGGTTAATGAAATTGATTATTTTGGTACTACCGGGTTCTTGAAATCATCTTTTTAACGCCAAGTATTTGTTGCTCTCACATAGGTAGTGAATAAAGATATTATAACATGAAACTGCATTTATCTTTACATATATTTAGCAAATTTATAATTATAAATAGCAAAATTAAAAGCGGTGTTAAACATTTAAGCGATAAAGTATAATAAATATTTCTATTTATAATATGTTGTATTTACCTGTTGCCAACGATATTAAATACCCTAGATAAACCACGTGCGCTCAAAATGTGTCCCAATCAAGAAGTGCTTAAACACCACTCAGCACTTCGTGGTTCACAGTCACGTCCAGACCGTTGAAAAGTAAAGATACTGCAGAGCTCCGAGAAAAAATACGAAAACAATACTTATAGTACGAGTACGTTAAGTGTCATTTTTTCGACAGATATTTAATCAATCTTTGTTAACATATTTGTTTCTTAGGTTTTCACGCACATCACTCATTAAATAAAACTAGTTTTTACGGGTTAATGCACGAAACTTTATTTATTTATTGACGTTTCGCAGCCTTTTCAGGTCTGCATCGTCAGAATAAAAATAAAATCATTATTCTGACGATGCATACCTGAAAAGGCTGCGAAACGTCAATAAATAAATAAAGTTTCGTGCATTAACCCGTAAAAACTAGTTTTATTTAATCTTTGTTAATTTAACGCATTTGAAGCAAATTTTGTTGTAATACTTACTATAAACTGTTTAAAAGAAAATATTTAAGATAATCAAATATATAGCCGTCTATTTTCCTCGCGGTCCGTAACTGCTATTTTGCTAACAGCGCGTTCAGAATTGCGTGTAGAGTCAAAGAAACAAGATCTAAGCATTAAGTTGTAAAATTTTACAAGCTTGCATTTCGAACTGTCGTATCTCTTTGACGCATGCGTTTTAATTAAGACCTTATACAGTGTACATTCAAGGTGACTTTCAATGTTTAAATAATGGCTAATATTGTTTTTGACTACGCGATCATCTTACGGAGCTCTGTGGATCGTTCAATGTACCTTTTGGAAAGGTTTTGTTCGTGTTGGTGTATGTAGGTTATTTAATATCATTGGCTGTACAATATGTCGCACACCATGCCTTGAAGCAAATAAAAATAGAGGAGGAGAATTGTGAAATTAAAAATATAAACACTATCTGTCTGAAATGGTGACATTTGTATGAAACACCTAATAGTACATTACGATACGCGTGACTTAAGTTGCCTATTACTGCACGGCGTGAAGTTAGCGCCCGAGCGGAGCGAGGATTTCAATGTATCCATGAACGTCGTCAAAGATACAATTCTCGCGGAATGAATTATAGCTAACCGTTTCTCCTTGTTTTGGCTGTCACTGAAAATTCCTAACCTATCGCTAATTTGTCATTTGTTTGTTGTGAGTTTTTAAGCTCCAAATGACATTTAAATGTGTTCCTTTTATTTTTTCTACATGAGTGAAGTTGGTCAATTCATTTACACACCGTGCAGAAATAGGCAACTTAGGTCACGGAAAAGCGTGCGTAAAGTGCGGGTTTAGGTCACACTGTGCTATAAAATATGTTTCATTCACGAATTATTCAATTTGACATTAATGGGTAGTTCATCATGTACACGCCTGTTATTCCTAACCTATTGTAAATATAGCATTAAAATCAATATATTTTTTTTATCTGTAAACAATAGTGTGGGTCATAGTATAGTGAAAATATGTGGTCTTGCATGTTCAATTAGACATGTGTAATTTTTTTATTGTATTTAGTGCAGTGTTATCCCACTCTTTGACCTCCAAGTTTTATATGAAGAAGTTCAATAGCGACGACAGACATCATCTCTCAAAACCAATAACAATAATATTTTTTTATATATAATTCATTGACAGTAATGAGAATTAATGACATTGTGTTATAATCACCGTCATTATTGACTCTCATTTTTGTTTTTATAACTGTCACGTAGGCACTCTTGATCATCGCAGGCGAAACGCATATATCAGTGCCGTTTCCTCGCTGGGCGGAGTGCCGCCAGATGGTGGATCATTCGCCCGGGGAAGACATGGCCCGTCAGTGAGGAGAGGGGCATCGTCAAGTTTTTAGTGGGTAGGGCCCCCCTCCTCTCGGGCAGCCGCTGAGCCAACCCACGGGCTGGCTGAGCGGGTGGGCGAGAGGAGGAGCGGAGGAGTCCCACATAACCTCGCCGCACTCTCAAGGCGGTGGGGTAAGCGTAACGCATTTTCCTGACGAAAAAAAAAATGGCGAAACGCATATATACCACAATTATTGTAGTTTAATGTTAGTGTATCAAATACAATACAAAACACTTTATTGAACACCACAGAAAACATTAAAATAAATACAGAGCCATTTAAATTAAGTGTTACAATGGGCGGCCTTATCGCTAAAAGCGATCTCTTCCAGACAACCTTTGGATGGAGAGGATTAGAAGGAAGTGGGAGAGACGGTGGCGTAAATTTCAGTGTAATTTATTAATATTTACATACACAAACAAATACACATATATTTTATATTCATAAATACATATATATATATACTTATAAACATATACATACATAATTCTAGTCCAGTCGGTAAAAATTACAAAAGAGATTGTAAAATAAAATAAAAATTACAAAGACAAATAGTGAGACTGCACGAGATTCTTAAAAATGTGAATCGATTCCGCACTTCGTATCAACACTGGGAGAGAATTCCACAGCTGAACGGCTCGAACTGTAAATGAGTGACTGTAAAAAGTTGTACTGTGTACAGGAGTCATGAGGGTAAGATTCTCTGATGACCTAAGAGATAACGTGTTAGAAGTGTGAAGGTAATTAAAACATTCCTTATGATAGCGCGGGGACGTAGGATTGAACAATATGTTGTAGAGAAGAGTAAGAATATTCCGGCGAAGGCGAATAGGTAGCCACTTGAGCTGCAAACGAAATTGAGAAACGTGATCATATTTGCGCAAACCAAATATGAAGCGAATACAAAAGTTTTGAAGTCGCTCAAGCTTATTAAGCTGTTCTTCCGTGAGATCAAGATAACAGACATCAGCGTAATCAAGAATAGGAAGCAGTAATGACTGTGCTAAGGTAATTTTGGTGGTGACGGGCAGGAAATTACGTAGTCTCCTAAGTGACGCTGCCGAAGCAAATAGTTTGCGACTGACCACTTGCATTTGTGGGCCCCAACTCAAATAAGTGTCGAACGTCAACCCCAAGTTTAACCGATGTGCTAAATGAAATATTATTACCAGCCAGTTCGATGCTGGGTAGTAACTTCCAATCGATTCTGTCTATCATCCTAGAACTATCTATTATTATGCTGGTTGTCTTAGTGGGATTCAAGTCCAAACCAAAAGATTTACTCCACTCTGTAATTACATGGAGATCACTATTAGTGGCTCGCACCTCGTCCTCAAGTTGACCAAGAGGTGCTTGGCGATAAATTTGAAGGTCATCTGCATATAGGTGGTAGGAAGAAGAAATATTGTTTGAAACAGAGTTGATTAATACTGCGCAAAGAAGAGGAGATAAGACGCCGCCTTGCGGAACACCGGCAGTCATATCGCTCCATGAAGAAAATTTCTCTTCAAGACGAATGCGCTGCCTGCGCCCATACAGATAACAGTGAAGGCACTCAATCACTGATGGAGATACGTTAAGGGAGCGCAGCAATGCCAGGAGAACATCAAAGTTGACTGTGTTAAAAGCATTGCTGAAGTCGAACAATGTTAATACCGTAATGAGACCGTTATCCATCCCATGGCGAATATCATCAGTCACTTTAAGCAAAGTAGTCGTGGTACTATGCCCAGGACGGAAACCGGATTGGAAAGGATTAAAGAGATCGTGGCGAGAAAGGAATATATTAAATTGGTTATGGACAAGGCGTTCAAGGACCTTAGATAGGAAAGGAATAATAGAGATGGGACGAAAATCGCCGACGGATTGAGGGTTTGATTTTTTAGGGAGTGGAATGATTTGGGCTTGCTTCCAAACTGACGGAAATACAGAATTGCAAATCGAGCTGTTAAAAAGAAAACTAAGGACAGGAAGGATGATTTCAAGGATAGGTATCAACATGTTGCGACTGATGCCATCATTCCCCGCAGCATTGGAAGAGATAGAAAGCATGCCCTACTTAACGTCACATTGAGTAAAGACAAAAGAAGAGTAGTCAGAAATTGGTAACGAGGAAAGATAATTTAAAGTACTGGTCTTGTTAGAATGACTGAGACTAGAAGTGGAAGAAAAGTGAAGGTTGAGTGAATCAACGTTGATTCTACTAGGAATAGATTTATGTCGGGATTTACCAATTCCAAGAGACTTAAGGAAATTCCAGACTTTTGCTGGATCTTTATTGTCGACAGCGACATGGATATGGCGACGTAAGGCATCCCTACACACCAGATTGCAGTGATTGCGAGCTCTAACGTAGTTGGCTTTATTTAAATCAGTTGGACGACGTTTATATTTGCATTTAGCAACGTCCTTTTTATGCATTAGAGCTTTAATGTCTTCGGTAATCCACGGCGCTGGAACATGTTTGGGTTTGAGTTTAGTTATTATATTATTAAAAGTCTCAACTTGGTCGTCCACAGACACCGCATTAATAACCAACGACCAATCGGTATTTTGAGC